TCACTCACCACTGAAGTCATGTGACTTTTACATACATCAAATTTAACACAGTGTTTATACCTATTGTTTTGAATAAACATACTAGTACAATGTGACATGTCAAATTACTAATTCCTAACCACCTTGGGTGAACAATTTAAAGCAAAATTGAATTAATGACACAAAATAGGACTTAGCAAATATATATTTAACGTTTATATTACATTTCTAAAGCAAAATTTAATTAATGACAAAATAACATTTAGCAAATATATAGTTAACGTTTATATTACGTTTCTTAAGCAAAATTTAATTACATAAAATTATATACGGACAAAATCTACCGTATACCTCCACTTTTCTAAAAAGTGTCGTATTCTTACCTTAACCTCGTATTAAACTCATATTAATGACTTTGCAATAATCTCACAATTTAACGAGCTGTTAATTTCAGTTTTCCAGGAAAAACTATACCAAAATCCCTAAATTTAATTACATGAGATTTTTAACATAACCCAACTTTTTATTCAAAAGTTAAATTACCCAATTTAGTCTAACTCGACTAAAACCATAATCTTGAGTCCCAAAATTACATTAGCTTTATATAGCTAATTAAATACATATACGAACAACACAAAAACACAAATTAACGAATTTCAGTAGAAACCACGGCCAACTTGGAAACTAGAGTTAATCACTCACAAACGTCATCCTTAGCTCTGCCTTCTTCCTACTGCGATCCGGAGACGACATTAGTTCCTTACTTTATACCCTATTCCGTTTCCTTATTATTATTATTCCTAAGTTATATCAACATTTTTTTTTTTTTTAAAACCTACTCCCTAGAGACCCTCACTTTAACTTTAATTTTACTACAGGTTGTGTTAACCTGATAATATACACACCTAACTAGTGATAATATATATTGTTTAATAAACCTATCAATCTCAAATATCCTCTTTAAATGGCATTTAGTAATTGGAACATAATCAAATAACACACTATTTATGGATAACAATTACTGTGGTTTATTTCACTGCGACGTTTCAACAAGATTTCACAAGTCGTTATCAAGCATATAACACAAATAAATAAAATGAAAACAAAATAGCTATATATATATATACACGAGCAGTGCGAACCCTCCAATGGGATGCAAAATCAGCAAGCATGAGCAACTGTCCCAAGCCGTTAAATAAACAATGTACATATATGGTTATAAACTGTAATTGGTATAGATAAGTGCAGGAATGAAGCCAAAGGATCAAACAATTATTAGCAGGTATAATGAGTCACGAGCAACTGGTCCTGACTGTAAAAACATATCAAATAATACAGTAATTAGTTATAGATGAAAGTAATAATAAAAGATGAAAGGACAAGTATTATGGGGGGTGAAACTGAAGCCATAAGCAGTTAATCCTAACAGTGAAGGCAATATGCAGTATCCGCTACAGATGGTCAAAAAGATTATTAATTCCACACTATCCGACCTACCAAAACCAGATAAACTAAAACCTAATAAAGCCCCTATACGAGTGTTTATACCCTTCCATGGAAACATCTCCCACCAAATTAGAAGATTATTAAAACAAGAAGCGCAGATAGAAACCACATATCTCAAAGGCAAGACAACCAAGGATTTAATAAAAGCAAATGGTAAGATAACCCCCACCAAACCCATCTCCCCAAAAGGGTGTGTTTACCAAGTCATCTGCAGCTGTGGGGAATCATACATTGGAGAATCGAAGAGGCCCTTAGACATCAGAATTAAAGAACACATGTCGAAAACACCCACCAACCAATCTGCCATTGCCGAACACCTATTTGAAAACCCGCGCCACCGAGTGAACTGGACTAACGTCAAAAAGTTAGCTGTTAATTGCCACAACAAACGAAACCGAAGAACCCATGAAGCTATTAATATACGCAGGCATGAACCAAAACTAAACAGGGACCCAGGAATTTACATTCCAAGAGCGTATGATCGCATCATTAAAATGTAGTTTACATCGTCTCTGAACTATCCTTTAATTTTAATATTTGTATTGCTTTTAACTTTGTACATCTCCTCAAATCAATTACAATTTGCTTTACTGCATATTGCCTTCACTGTTAGGATTAATTTCTTATGGCTTCAGTTTCACCCCCCATAATACCTGTCCTTTCATCTTTTATTATTACTTTCATCTATAACTAATTACTGTATATATATATATATATAGATTTATTTAATATGTTTTTACAGTCAGGACCAGTTGCTCGTGACTCATTATACCTGCTAATAATTGTTTGATCCTTTGGCTTCATTCCTGCACTTATCTATACCAATTACAGTTTATAACCATATATGTACATTGTTTATTTAACGGCTTGGGACAGTTGCTCATGCTTGCTGATTTTGCATCCCATTGGAGGGTTCGCACTGCTCGTGTATATATATATAGCTATTTTGTTTTCATTTTATTTATTTGTGTTATATGCTTGATAACGACTTGTGAAATCTTGTTGAAACGTCGCAGTGAAATAAACCACAGTAATTGTTATCCATAAATAGTGTGTTATTTGACTATCAATCTCAACTTATGAATAACTATATGTTATTTCCTACACAGTTGCATTTTAACATTTATTGTATTTTAATCTGATTTTAACCTTACTATTATATGGTCTGTAAACAAATTAACAAATTCAATTTTCCAGCCAAAATGTATTTACCTAATTCTGCGAATGAGCTTATTTCCACCAAAAATTTTCTCCATCAGATTTCTTTTTGTTCTTCCACCAATATTTTTCTCCACCAGATTATTTTCTATTGCTGGTTTGTACGGGTTTTCTACTTCCAAAGTTGCTGCTTACTCTAAAGGTCAAAACTGAGGTACTGCACCAAATAGAATATGTATTCTTCTAGATTCCCTTGAAGGTCGAATCCTGGTCACGGCACCAAATATAATATGTAGCACCATGGGCCTTTCTGTGTGACATGGAAAGCGGTGATACCAAAAACCGGTCGCCACATCCTACATACAACCCATGCATCTTTTCTTACTACATATCTTAGTAGCCTTGTGATCGTCTAGAATTTGTCTCTAGCTGTCTTTACTTCTGCTTCACGTGTATTTAAATATTTATTTCTTACTGTTTTCTTAAGACGTTTGTCTTCTCAGTAGTTATAACAATGCAACTGTTTGTTTTTACATTTTATATATCAAGCTGGATACATATAAGCATAGTATAGAATACAATACTAAAGTTATTCTCAACCCTAGCTAGTCAGACACGATATGGGCGAGTCTGCTGATAGAATGGTTACATCTTTCCCCTTCCAGAATCTGTCTGTTATCTAACAAATTCTCACAAGTATGATAGTTTTGTAGCTGTGGGTTTTGGACGTTCAATTATCTAATTGGTCAAATATCATGTAAATAAGTATAGAGATTGGTCAAACAAGCCAAATGATGCAATCGTAATTTTCCGTCACATGTTTTTCAACACAATCTATCCTTGAACTTAGAACCCCTTTCCTGTTATTCTCAGGCTATTTCACAAATAATTAATTTGCGTTTTAAATAAACTCATACCATAGCTAATATACTGACAATAGAGTATAATTTGTAAAGATAAAAAATGTTGTTTAACCCATCTTATTTCTCTATTCCTTGTCTATAAATTTAAAACAATGTGGCAACGACGATATTGCTACACAAATACATGGGTGGTGCTGATAGGCTAGATCAAGTAATGTCATATTATAAGTATCCCTATAAGAAAAGAAAGGCGTACCGTGTCATTTCGCACTTTGTACTGAAGTTACATTAGCTAATGCTAAAGTAGCCTACAATCTAGCTTTCCCTGCGAAAAAACTTAACAGTAAAGATTACCGCATAGTTGTTAGTAAAAGTCTTCTTGCTGAGAAAATTCAATCGGTTAACTACAACAAACCCGAGGCACATTTCCCAGCCCTCTATGAAGATAAAACCCATAAGCCTGACTGTATAGTTTGTTCGGACAGGAAAACTGGAAATCGAAAACAAGTGAAAACCTACTGTAAACGTTGTAATCAACCTATGTTTTGAACGATATCACACAATGCAAGACTATAAAATTTGTTATTGAACTGTAAACGTTGAAATCAAGCTATGTGCATTGTTAAATGTTTTGAATGATATTACACAATAAAAGACTATAAAATTCATTATTGATCTATAAATTTATTTTATTTGTGATTCAAATGAACATTGAATTGTCAAATGCATTACTACTGAATTTATTTTAAAAGTACTGATTGAATAATGTTTTTGGGTTTTTTAAGTACCAATGATAAACACAGCGCAAAGAAAACACCTTTTGAAGTAGAATAAACGAAAAAAAAAAAAAAAGAGAAATTATTTTGTTAATTATGCAAATTAACTGAATTTGCATTTTAAAATGAGGTGAAAAAAAATAGTGCAAATTATAGATCAACTTATCCCCTTCAACTTTTTTATTGGTGTCAAGAGTCTATCCCTTATAATTATCCGGCAGTAGTCATTTGAAATAGGCATATAAAATATTTCACCGTAGCCTTTATTTAGCCTGACCAGTTGAGGTCATGACGTCAAAATGACGATGACCAGTTAAGGGTTAACTTTGGCCTCTAGAGCATCCACAAGGTTTTTTGAAGTAATATTAACTTTAAATTCTAGAGCGTCCACAATTGCTTGTGGACACAGGACCGATGGCCAGACGGGGCGACAATATACAACCACATTAACAAGGTTTTCGGAAAAGAGGGAATAACTCTTGAGCTAAAAGTGGTAGAATGCTGAATATTGATATGAATCGTCCTCTCATGAACAGCAAATGTTGACAGATGGTCAAACTGATGGACAAGGTGACAACAAAAAAACATTTAAATGTCTAATCAAAGCTTTAATTTTGTGAATAACACGGTTACTCTCCTGAACAATGACCACAGACGTAGCTGAATCAAACATTGAAACTTATGAAAGTCCATTTAATAAATAATTTTTAATACTCACCAGAAAAATTGATGTGCGAATCTAATACTTTTACATGATTGTTCTAACAACATTCGAGCTAAAGGACAATTATGATAACTTTCAAACTTTAACGCTTGTATTAATTGAGGTAGAAAATCAATTAAATCATCAGTATTAATTCTTCTGATACATTTTACAGCAAACTCTCGTACTTTCAAATCAGGATATCTGTAAAATTTTAACATAAACATTAGGGTGGTCCTTATTTTGCAAAATTTTGAAAAGTTAAAGGGCTACCCTCAATTTATGTTGGAATTGATGAGAAAAAAATGAAAAAAAATAAATAAAAGAATAAAATAGTTTTTTAGAGGGTGCTACCGTCCATCAAAGTTCAAACAAAATGTGACTTTTTGGCATTTTTTTCAATTTTTTTTTATTTTTATGGAAAAAAGTTATACATGAAAATAAATGTTGTTTCCTGGTTAATTAGAATGTGAACAAGACCAAAATAATATTTATAAAGCTACACAAACGATTCCAGTGTTTTATACAGAGGTTCGAAATTTGGCGAAATCAAGATTTTTCCAGGAAATTGTATCTTTTTCCTAGACCTTTACTTCTAGCCCTTCTGTTGTGGCTTTTGGTGTACCCCAAAGGGTCTGTCCTCGGACTGATCTTGGTTAGCTTATACAGTAAACCACTTGTTCTCATAGTAAGACATCATGGATTATTGTTTCATCTATATGCGAATGATACACAATGGTACATTTTGTTCAAACCTATTAAAATTAACTTTCAAAGCTGAATGTTGAAGCTTCTATTGCACACATAAAAATTTGGATGAACATCAATTTTTTTAAACTTAATGCAGGTAAGACAGAATATTTGGTAATTGGGTCTTTTTTAACCAGGAAAAAGTTAAACTTTGATCTATCGATACAAGCAGGAAATAGTTGCATTGTCACTTTTCAGTCAGCCAGAAATATTGGTGTAATTTTTAATTTAATTTTTTCTTTGGAAAATCACAAACAATATCTTTAAAATAAGTTATTTTAATCTCAGAAACATAGCTAAAATATGTAAATATTTGTCGTCGACAATTAGGGTCTTCAAGTAATAATTTGCTCCATATTGAGAAAGATAGGTTGCCATGCAACGAAACATACGCCCACAGCAGCTAAATCGTCCGGGCAGTCAACAAGTGTTGTTGCATATTTTTACTATTTTCGGTAATGAAACATTTAGAATACACTAAAATCCGATAAGAGTAACAACTCATGAAGTAATTATCAGAAAACTCTTAGGATTTGTTTGGTTTTTATAAAGTTCTGCCCCAATCTAACGTTTAGTATACAAAACTTTTAATATCATGGATTTAGCTGTTCAAGTCATAAAAATTCATTGAAAATCAATATACTTGTTCGTCTCAAGATCTTAAACTCTGTGTATAAATCTGAAGTCAATTGGATGATAACTTTAGGGCCATAACTCTGGCAGTAATTATCGGAAATCGCTGAAAATCAATAGGATTCTTCGCTTCATGACCTTAAACACTGTGTATAAATTTAAAGTCAATCGGATATTAACTTTAGCCTCTAAAGCGTCCACAAGATTTTTTTAAGTGATCAAGAGCCATAACTCTAGCAGTAATCATCGGAAATAGCTGAAAATCAATAGGATTCTTCGTCTCATGACCTTAAACACTGTGTATGAATTTAAAGTCAATCAGATATTAACATTAGCCTCTAGAGCGTCTATAAGAATTTTTGAAGTGATCAAGGGCCATAACTCTGGCAGAAATAATCGGAAATCGCTGAAAATCAATAGGCTTCTTCGTCTCATGACCTTAAACATACTATATAAATTTAAAGTCAATCAGATATTAACTTTAGCCTCTAGAGCGTCCACAAGCAATTGTGGATGCCGGACCGACGGCCCAACGGACGCGACAACAATATACGACCACATTTCAATGTAAGCGTATAAAAATGCCACAGCATAGTTCTCACATTTATTGGTTTTAGACCATATCTTCTTACGGAAGAATTGACGCAAATCCTTATAATGAATAACTAATACCAAATTATAGACTAATTTCACAGCAAGCGACACTAGCGCCCCCTAGAATATTGTCGTGCATAGCAAAAGAAAAATATGTAAGACATTTAAGTGACACATGAATTATCAATATTGATACGTGAATATTCAATATTGGATTATTGCTATCAAATAGCATTGTAATATGTAATTTTCTTAATTTTTCGGTAAGCTTTTATTTCTACAATTGGCACAAGAACATAATACAGTTGTAAAATAATTTGAATGTATTTTTTCTCCCAAAACGTTTAAGATTTGCGTAATTTCTATGCTGTATTTATTTAAAAATACGACAGTTGGTTGGATTTAAAAAGCAGTACTTTATATCTGCTTGCCATTTTTGAAGATCACAATTATCTTGTTTACACTGTGTGTGACCGCAATAGAGGTGAAGGTAATGTCAAATTTGTCTTGAATCTCCAATTCCAATCACCCAAAAGTCACTGCCTCAGAAGCCACAAAAAGTGGTACTGCAAGATAGATTTCTCTTAGATGAAATTAATGAGAGTTTTTGACAGCGTAAATTGGTATTTCCCACCGGAAGTCAATGAAAACTACTTCCATTCGCTTTAAGTGTATCATACATAGATGGTTTTGGCATGATGATAAAAACCAAGAATAAAAATTCAGATCATGAAAATCCCACCATTAATGGCGGAAATAGCCATGGCCTCAATCAGTCGTCCCGATTTCAAAAATGTCCCTCGCAGAGCGGTCAAGGAGTCAAAAAATTTGAACCCAAACATTTTTGGATAGCATGGTCCCAAATCAACTCAAAACAACAAAAAATCAATTTTAGCGTTCAAATTCTACGGGAGCTGTTTTGATGACATGTCATACCACACTGTCACCCCATTTAGATGGGAAGTTTTGGTCCGATTTTCAGGAAATACAATCTTGACTGTAATTCTGGTGTAGCAGTAATATACTTAACAGTTTTAAAGATAGGTTGCCAGGCAACCAAACATACGCCCACAGCAGCTAAATTATCCGGGCAGTCAACAAGTGTTGTTGCATATTTTTACTTCTTTCGGTAATGAAACATTCATAATACACTAAAATCTGATTAAGAGTAACAACTCATGAAGTAATTATCAGAAAACCATTAGAATTTTTTTTGATTTTTATACAGTTCTGCCCCATGCTAACGTTTAGTATACAAAACTTATATCATGGATTTGGGGATCACGTGGCTAAGTGGGTAAGACGCTAGCTCGCTAGCCTGGAGGTCGGATGTTCGATCCCTGCATTGGCCGAGAAAGTTCATCCAGATTTTCCGGCGTGGTTCTCCCTTGTCAGTGATGCAGGACGGAGGGGCTGACAAGGAAAGCTGTCTAGTCGTTTGGATGGGACGAAAAACCGAGATCCCGTGTACACATTGGCGTGCACGTAAAAGATCCCTTGGCAGTTGGAATTCGATATAAGAGTAGGCCGTAGTGCCGCTGTCCGGGCAAAATTTCCCTCATAGCACACTGTATGGCGTATGCCCGTCTTCATTAGCCCAGGTTAGGAGCAAAAAAGTAGGACGTTAAACTCCATTTCATTTCATTTTATATCATGGATTTAGCTGGTCAAGTCATAAAAATTCATTGAAAATCAATATACTTGTTCGTCTCAAGCTCTTAAACTCTGTTTATCAATCTGAAGTCAATCGGATGATAACTTTAGCCTCTAGAGCGTCACAAGATTTTTCAAAGTGATCAAGAGCCATAACTGTGACAGTAATTATCGAAAATCACTGAAAATGAATAGACTCCTTTGCCTCATGACCTTAAACACTGTGTATAAATTTAGAGTCATTCGGATATTGACTTTAGCCTTTAGAGCGTCCACAAGATTTTTTGAAGGGATCAAGGGCCATAACTCTGGCAGTAATTATTGGAAATTGCTGAAAATCAATAGGCTTCTTCGTTTCATGGCCTTAAACACTGCGCGGGTTCGCTGGTACCTTCAAACGGTACTGTGAGTGTTTTTCGATAATTATATATTTATCAATAATGGATGTGATAGATTTTTTGATTTAATGTTTGTGCGTGATCAAAAGGACCATTTTGATGTGAAATATATGTATTGCTTTTGTATTTTGACCTATCTGTTATGGAGAATGTTTACATTGTGTCGATCAGCTGTCAACTGTCAAAAATTCAAAATGGCCGCCCCAATGGGCCTGCCGTTAGCAACCTTTATTGACAAATAGTTTGATCTCTGCAACTTTTATTGTAAACACCATAGTGGTTGACTGTGCCTTGTTGTGCTCTGTGTTTTTCGTGCCTGTGATTAATTGTGGATTAATGTGGATTTCGACATACAAATATATATTATTTATGCGCAGGCGTGGTAAAGCCGTTACTTTCAAATAATTGTATAACAGTTTTTGTTAAGTTATAATTTGTTGATAAATTTGCGACAGATTTCAGTTCTATTGTCGTGCATGTGGAACATTTTTATGCGAAGTAGTGTTTGCTGTTTAAATGTAACTATTGCGAAGAAACATTTAATTATCGCCTTTTCATTAAAATTTAGGCCTAATTTTAGGAAGCCTAGATTGAAAACATTATGTAAGCGCCTAGGAGGCAGCTGTGTATTTGTCCTGCGTGTGTTTTTGTTTAAAATAGTAACTCTGAATGCAGTATTTTATCAAAATGTTTCATAATAATTTGTATCTGTTGTGGCTAGTGAGCTATCTGAATCAACTCACCTACTATCAATCACAACTGAACTCTTACAACAATAACATTCAAGCCAAATCTCATTGTTTTAGTAATAATAATAATAATAATATTAATAATAATAGAGGCGTGAGGAGTGGAAAGCAGTGGGTTAAAAAGATTGATGTTTTAAAATCCAACTACTACTATTAGAAATGATACAGTAAAAAGACACAGAACAGTAAACAGGGGCAATCTTGTTACTATTCCAATAATTTCTAAACAAATCGATCAACGCCCAGACAATACACAATTGTGTCTTAATGCATGGCCCGTCGAAAATAAAACAGTCGCTTTGAATGATTATACATACGACAACAATGAAGTAATTGGGAGAAATCAAAGACATTTAAAAGTTATCACCACCAACAGACCATATGAACCTCTAAACACTAATCCACTGAATATTAACATTAATCATAG